TACACCCCAACACAATGGAGAGTCTGAAAGGAGGAACAGAACCTTACTTGACATGGTTAGGTCCATGATGAGTTTTAGTGATTTACCTGCATCGTTCTGGGGTTATGCCCTAGAGACTGCGACTCACGTTTTGAATCGTGTGCCATCAAAGTTTGTAGATAAGACTTCATATGAACTATGGAGTAGGCAAAAGCCTAACTTGTCTTATCTAAGGATTTGGGGTTGCGAAGCTTATATTAAGAAATTGACTTCTAACAAGCTGGGCCCAAAATCTTTTAAATGTATATTTATGGAGTATCCAAAGGAGACTAAAGGATACTATTTCTACCACCCAGAAGAGCGCAAAATTTTTGTTGCTCGATCTGGTGTCTTCCTAGAAAATGAATATTTTCTAGGAAGTACTAGTGGGAGAAAAGTAGAACTCGATGAAGTTCTAGAACCACAAGATATACTAGACAAAGGATGAGATGATGTGCCACAGGAAGTGGTTGAACATCATGAGGAGGTTACTCCACAACTTGTGGATCAAAGTGAACCACCTCAGGTAACACAGGAGTTATGTAGATCTAGGAGAGTACCCCATCAGCTCGAGAGATATGGTTATCTCGTGACTCAACATGGTGACGTACTAGTCTACCAAGACGATGAACCCAAAACCTACAAAGATGCTATATCGGATCCAGATTCTGTTAAATGGCTTGAAGCCATGAAATCTGAGATGGACTCCATGTAACATAACCAATTAAGTATGGTCTCTGGTGGAACTACCCGAAGGGGTAAAACCCATAGGGTATAAATGAGTCTTCAAGAAGAAGACTGACATGGATGGCAAGGTGCATACTTATAAAGCACGACTGGTTGCCAAAGGTTTCAAACAAATTCATGGCATTGACAAAAAAAAAACATTTTCAAAAATTACCATGATTAAATCCATCTGGATTATGCTTGCGATTGCTGCATATCATGACTATGAGATTTGGCAAATGGATGTCAAAATTGCTTTCCTGAATGGAAACCTTGAGGAGGATGTGTATATGACACAACCTGATGGTTTCGTTCTTGATAGTCAAGCTAATAAGGTATGCAAGTTGTAGAGATCCATTTATGGACTCAAGCAAGCTTCAAGGAGCTGGAACATTCATTTTGATGAAGCCGTAAAAGAATTCGATTTTATCAAGAACGAAGATGAGCCATGTGTTTTCAAGAAAGTGAGTGGGAGCGCAGTAGTATTCCTAGCATTGTATGTCGATGACATACTTCTGATCGGGAATGATATACCGAACTTTCAATCGATAAAGACTTGGTTATCCAAGTGCTTCTCCATGAAGGACTTAGAGGAAGCAGCCTACATCCTTGGTATAAAGATCTATCGTGATAGATTGCGTAGGTTGCTTGACCCAAGTCAGAGTGCATATACTGACAAAGTACTAAAAAGATTCAGTATGGAAGAATCCAAGAAGGGATTTCTTCCGATGTCACATGGTGTTTAGCTCTCTACGGAATTGTGTCTTAGAACACAAGATGAGAGAGATAGGATGAGGAGGATTTCATATGCATCAGCAATTGGATCAATCATGTATGCCATGTTATGTACTCGGATTGATGTCTCATGTGCTTTGAGTACTTGTAGTAGATATCAATCGGATCCAGGTGAGCGTCATTGGATGGCTGTCAAGAATATCTTTAAGTACTTGAAGAGGACTAAGGATATGTTCTTGGTTTATGGAGGGGAAGATGAGCTCATTGTAAGAGGATACAGTGATGCTGGTTTCCAAACGGACAAAAATGATTATCGATCGCAATTAAGGTTTATATTTTGTCTCAATGGCGGTGTAGTGAGCTGGAAGAGCTCCAAGCAAAGCACTGTAACGAACTCTACAATGGAGGTTGAGTATATTGCATTGTCAGATGCGGCCAAAGAGGTAGTCTGGATTAAGAAATTCATTACTGAACTTGGTGTGGTTCCCACGATTGTTGATCCTATAGATATCTATTGTGACAACAATGGAGCAATTGCTCAAGCTAGGGAACCATGGTCTCATCAGAAGTCCAGACACATACTCAGACGATTCCATCTCATCAGAGAGATAGTTGAGATGAAAGACGTGCAGATTAGTAAAGTGCATACTGACAACAATCTCGCAGATCCACTGACAAAGCCTTTGTCGCAACAGAAGCATGAAAGGCACTTGAGATCTTTTGGTATTAAATATATGAATGATTGGCTATAGTGCAAGTGGAAGATTGTTAGAGTAGATGCCCTAGAGCCAATCAATTATTATAGAATTGACTCTTTGTAATAATGTTCATTAATAAATAATAAAAAGGCATTTTATTTTATATTACGTAAATCATTATTATTGCAATATGTATTGATATATGTCCTTAGAATGATAGAACTGTGATGAGGGTATCAAGTGTTTCAAATCTTCATAGTGAGAACCCTATGAGCACATGGTGGCCATTCTAGAAACGTCTGTAGCCCCAGTATTATTCGGAAGTAAGAGCACAGATGATACGATAAGGCTATCATAGTGTTGAACAACTCTGTCGAAAGGCAGTGACTGATCTCGTTTGTCAAGGTTGTTTGGTGATAATCTGGTGCAACACATGGGTGCTTGCTGTAGGCGAATACACCGCAACAAGTTCACTGGACAAACCCACCAGAGGATTTCATATGGATGGTAACCCTAGTGTCTATGGAACAAATTCTCTAACGAATGGTGGTGCATGTGATTCTTAGACTTGAGATCACCAGAGCGCCTTGTACACTGATTGGTGTAGTTTGACACTAGCCTAACGTAGTTTTATTCAGAGCTGTCAATACGGTGGTGATTGGCTGCATCAAGGAGTGTATCAAGACTATGGTGGATAGACAAAGGATTCATCACTCCCGGGTACAGGAGAAGTTATCTCACGGCGCAATTCAGTATATGATAATAACACTAAAACTGTGGCCACAGTGGGATTGAGTTGTTGCTCTATCCGGATTATCATACAGGTCATTGGTCCAAAAACTGAATACATAATGTCGAGAGTAACCAAAGGTTGACACTATTTCTATGCCTTCGTCTTATCGAGATAACGTATGATGAAAGAATCGAATTATATGGTAACCATATCGTTGACAGGTAGCTACTTTGCTGAATCTGAATCTATCAGGTGACCATGATGCCTTGCTAGGGGCCAATCTTGGTCCGTGTATTAGTGAGACAATTAATTGGTGTTAATCGCGATACTATACACTACCAGTATGATGATGAGCCTATGGGTTACACACATAGAAGATAATTTAAGACTCAGGAAGAAAGAAGTGTTTTCGTCTTTTTAGGCGAAAAGGTATTTTGGTAATTTCACAGTGCAATTAAATTTGCTGAGGACGTAGCCTTTTATTTAATTTGTTAGTAAAATTAAATAAGTGAAATTACGTTTAAATATGTGTTCGCATATATTTAAATAAATTATCATTATTGTTAAATGTTAATATATATATTAAATATTTATAATTGATTTTAATTGAAGATAATGATGAATTAAAATAAATATCTAATTGGGAGTGTTTGGAAACATGGGGTGTTTGGGTTGGAGCCCAAACGTATTCCGTATGGGAATAGGGCAATTAAATAACACTATATAAGAAAAGTGTTAATTAAAATTGGAGAGGTTTTTCATTCATTCAGTTTGATTGAAAAAGAAAACACACACAACCCCCTTTCCTCTCTCCCACGCCAGACTTGGTTTTTGCTTAAAATCAATTTCTCTTTATTTCTTCTTGATTCTTAAGGTTAAGGAGGATCTAGCAAATCTCTCCTTAGTTCCTTGCGATTGTCTTTGTGTGGACTATGTCGGTTCGACCCTACACTTGGGTTGGCAGCAAAACACGTTCAGAGGAAAAATTGGAGGAGCCTCTAAACGTGCGTATGATTTCTAAACTCTTGATTAATTTTTTCTATAGATTTCTACTTTGATATAAACTGTAAAATTATACCTTGATCTTGGCTCTATGGGAACGATCCTTGTATTATTATTTTTGTTTTCCGCTGTGTATATGGATCGTTTCCTAATAGGAACATGTCGTTTGCTCCAATTAAACCAAACATCTAACAAAACCCAAATGGACTAGACCTATCTAATACAAGGATGACCTAATGCATAGGAAGAGATAAAAGGAAGATGAGGTGGCGTTGTCGAACTAGGGGTGGTACTAAAAACAAAGATGAGATGGCAGAGGAGGAGATGGAGTTGGGTAGAGGCGGTTACGTACGAAGATGGATTTAGATATGATGTTTGTGTTGGAGTCTCATACCGACTAGGCACGCTCAAGCCTACTGATTTATAAGAGGGGGTGAGGAGTCAAGCTCACTTCAAATTCTATTTGGTAAGGAGTCAAACTCACCTTAAATTCTATCATGATGTCAGAGCCCAAGTTCAGTTGAGTTGAGTGCTTGACCAGCGGGTAAAGAGTTAGAGCCAACAACTACCTCCAATAACAGGCATGACCCAACATATGAGCTTGACCGTGAGAGGGAGTGTTGGAGTCCCAAACCAACTAGGCACGCTTAAGCCTACTGGTTTATAAGAAGGGGTAATCTTCGCATTCAATAAGACCTTATTGGCTGAGGAGTCAAGCCCATCTCAAATTTTATCAGTTTGCATTAGTTTCCAGAATTTTTACATAACATTTTGTGCCTAAAAAAAATTCACTTCTTCTTCATTGATATAATTTTTGTCTTATTAAAATAGGGCGTTTAGAGAAAATTGGAGGTACATAATCCCACATTTTATAATCTTTTTTTATCTATATTTAAGGTTAAATGTTGTAAATAACCAAAAAAAAAAAAAATATATATTGAAGTGGGACTAATGAAATCATTTTGTTTAGTTTAAAAGCAAAGAGATCCAATCCAACCAAGCCCAGTAGTGCTCTGTCAACTTAACTATTGATCAACAAGAAAAATCAAAATTAAAAGGGAAAGTACACAAGTTAATGTTGATGGTAAGAAGAAAGCACTTTTCAAGATTGAATATAATGTAATTACAACACAAAACTAGAGGTTCCCAATCAACTAAAAGGAAAAAAAGGAAACAAAACAGTAATTATTCAATATCTCACAATTCTTAATAAGCGCTTCTCCTTCCGCCACAATCCCTAGAAAAAGGCCTAGAATTGATAAAGGCAACTTCCATCATCACTTCTTGCAGTTGGATCAAAGTTGCCTGCATTTGGATCAGTACATCCTTCAGGAACTGGAATACTCATTTGCTGGGCTGCTTGGCCTGCACAATTCAATAACAAATAACAGTTAATTTCTACTCTTAGATTCATTTTAATCTACTGAGTTTCGATCAAGTTTGTAAGAAATTTTTTATAAATGCAAACCTCCCATCAATGCCTCTAGCTAGGATGGGAGCTAACCATAGAAAGAGCCACTCTTGATAGCATCATCATTGGCTTCACCAAGAGCAGCCTCGCTCAAATACTTGTCAGCCAATTGGACTCTCTTCACATTCTCTTGCTCTTGGACAAGCATGTTTCCATACTCCATGAGCTTCTCAATGGTCATCTTTGGCTGGTCAAATGTTGGTGGTCCGTCCTTTGAGTTCACAAGCTTCTTCCCAATGCCCTCAACACCAACTCCGGAAATCCAGTTTCTCACTTCATCGTCGTAAACTCTGGCCCTCAGGGCACCGAAGAAATCTGCACAAGTACAGGTAATTGTCATAAGTTTTCTCGGAAAAAAAATTGTAGTTTTAACATAGGAAAGTAGATAAATTACCAATGGATTGTCCGGGGAAGGAGTCAACAAGCTTGACAAGGTCATCTTCAGCAACATTGTCAGTCCTGAAGATACCCTTGCAGACACCAATACGGTCTTCCCTGGTGGGTGCCCAGTAGAATTTCTCCATACGACCGTCACGGATGAGGGGAGCATACAATGTGGAGAAATCGTTACCGGTGACGATGATGGGGACACGGGGGTTTTCCTCCTTGTTGTACATACCAGGGAGCTGGACGCTTGTTGGGTTATCAGCAATGTTCATGAGAGTGGCATTAACCATTTGGTTGTTGACTGTGTATTGGGTTGTTCCACCAAGACGACCAGCTCCGGCATCAAGATCGTTGATGAAGAGGGCGCACATTTTTCCCTTCTTGATTATATCAGCTGCCTCACGGTACCTTTGCCTGATGAGCTTAGCGGGTTCTCCCGCGTTTCCACTTTCCAATTCTCCAGCACTCATCATGATGGGGCTGAAATTTCATCACCAATATTATATAAAACATTTTTTTTTTTTTAAAAGTATCAAACACATATAACCATTTGAATCTAACATTGTGTTGCTCAATTAACTAAAAAATGTCATTTTTACTCACTTAATGCCCATCTTGGCGAACACAAGCTCACATTGGAATGATTTTCCTTGACCTTTTCCTCCCCAAATACCCAAGATGAGAGGAACCTGTAAAGAAGAAATTGAAAATTGTTTAATTAGTTCTGTTGTAGTTCAACAATAACTCGCGAAAAGAAATTGTTTAAGCAGATATGATTACATACCTTAATGTTAGGCAGGCTCATGAAGTTCTTAGAGATGTGAACAAGAAGCTTGTCCATGAAAGCAGGGGCAATGTAGAAACCATCCATGTTGTTGTCGAAGTTGTATCTAAGGCATCATCAAGTAACAAATCAGTATAAATCAGCCAGTTTCTTGGCAATTAAACTAAAATCATAAGCAATAATATTGAAGATATGATACTGACTGGCGAAGACCGTGGCTAATGTAGTCATAAGAACTCATGACGGCGTAGTGAGTTCCGGTACCCATGGGGGCTTGGAAGAGAGAATCAACCATACCCTTTCCTCTGGTGATGTCTTGTTGGTCATCAGAGTCGTCATAGGCAAGGCCCTTCCATTTGTCCTTTTCAGTCTGCTTCTTCTCATCATATTCAGCGTTAATCTTGAAGCTCCCAGAAGGAACCTTGGAGTTTGTGAATCTTGAACTCCCTTTCTTCAAGCTGGTGCCCAAGAAAGCAGAGCTTGGAGCTGAGGATCCAGCACCAGACCCATTCAAGCTCAACTGCAACAAAAATTACCACTCTGTCACCCCCAAAATCCTCAAAATATTAACTATTTAATGAACACGATCACCGATCATCATCAAACAAAAACTTTTTACTGATACATACAATCAAATTTAGCTACTTCTGAGATTAAAAACTTTGCATGCTTATACATGAACATTACTAGTACTTTTTGTCACGTACATAAAAGCATCACAGCTTAAAACTATTCAATAACCTCTTTAATTTAAATTAAAATTCAAACAAAACCATGGGATCAAACTCCCAAAAATTTATCAGCACCAAATTGGACATCGAATTTCTTATGATCACCAGATTCACCACCACGCATACGGATAGATATGCAAGATGTAGCAAATATATGTGTACTGTACGTGCATACTTACGTAAGTATAGTAATACAAAGTAAAAGCATATATCAGCATGAATAAATATATATAAAAGCAAAACAAGAATATAAAAGCATAAAATCAGTCTCGAAAAAGCAACTTAAACATCGCAGAGAGACTGTTAAAACTATCAAGTGACAACACATAATAATCAAAAGACACCATAAACCTAAAAGAGCTCTAAGAAAAAACAAGTATAAGTGAATTATGAATATAGTTGCAAAATTTCAAATACTCTTAGATAAATATGAGTATGTTTGCATGTCCAATAAAGAAGGAATGGATAAAATAGTGTACCGGTGCTCTGTTGACTGCACCAACAGTGGAGACAGCAGCAGCCATGAGGATATTTGAGAGACTGAGAGAGAGAGAGGTAGGGAGTTGCAGCTGAATGCAACGCAAAGCAAAGTGGAGTGGTTCGTTGAGGAGATCAGAAAAATGAAGCGTGGAGTGAAAACTTATAGTGGGTTTGTATGGGTGTTCCAAAATTCATCAATCTGGATGATTGGTTATCGAGTTCTTAGCGTCCACACAATCAAGATTGCATGGTTGACACGTGGCGAATGGTAGGTTGCTTTACCCTCTTAGTCCTCAGCTCCTGTTGGGTCCTCGTTATTCTTTGCCACTTAAATTTAGGTTATTCTGTTACCACACAAAGCTTGCAAAGACTGATTATGGGCTATATCTGTTTGTCACTGTATTTTGTATTTTTTCGAGTGGAAAAGATAATTTTGCATTTGAGGTGCTAAACTGTTCTTGATTTCTTATAATTTGAATTTCTTTATCTTTTTGTTTGTATTGTGAGAGAAATATAAGAGGCCAGTGAGGTATTGTCCAAATGTACTTGGGGTTCTCTCTCTTTCTCTATTGGTCTCATTCAAAAGCAACCATCTGTAAATACTTTTGTTTTCCAATAAGAATTATCTTTGAATTTCTTAAAAATAATATAAAAATCAAAATTTGTAAGAGAATACTCTTACTGTCATTCCAGCCTCAAACTCATAATGCTAAGCCTTCTATTGTGTGGGAATCCAAATCATGGTTCCAAAACTGGCCCAAAGCAGTCTTTTCGCCGAGGCCTACATTTGCCTTCTGGTTCTTGTTAGAGCCATTCGTTCATCAGTCATCACTATGTGCTTCAATTAGAGGACAACGTGATTATTCAGCCCCTGTTTCTTTCACTCTTTGGATCATTTTTTCTCTATTTTATTTTGATTAAAAAACAGAATATGTGTTTGTTTATTTATTAGAATCATTATTCTAAAAATTAATTTGAATCAAATAAAATTTTTTATATTGAAAATGAAAAGAGGGGGGATTTGTTTTCTATTATCCTATTCTATTTAACTCAAAACATTTTTCCAACTTTATTCAACTAAAAACAAATCATCTTTCACTCCTCCCAATCTGAAAATTAATCCACCTAAGACCACCACCGCTAGCCGCCAGCCACTGTCGATCGTCAATGCTAGAACGATGCACAATCGATCGGATCTAGTTGGTCTTCCACCAATCTGACCATTTTCGGCCAGATCCATGGGTTAGAAACGACTAGATCTACAGCCAGAGATCTAGCTATTGACAAAGACTAGATTTTGGTCATTAACGACGGCCAGATTATATCGTACATATGGCTGTTTTCGTGGATCTTGCCAAATAAATGCACGACTGGCCAGATCCAGTCAGTTTTGCGTCTTTCTAGAGACTATCGGCTATTGTCCAGCGATGGTGACTAGCGACCGGTAGTGGCTTGAGTGGCTGGGGTGTTTTTATTAATTTTTAAACTTTTATTATGGAGGGTGTTTAGTTAAATTAACAAATGTATGGGGTTAAAAATTAATCTAAATATTTTTTAAAAATGTATCAAACAACCTTTTAGCATTTTATCTAATTCTGATATAATTTTCAGATATTATACAAAATACATTCTTAGAATCTTATCTTATTCGATTTAATCCAATTCAACTCAACTTAAAATAGTTTTTCAGAATATCCTTTTTCAAATAATTTACCAAACATTAAATTTTCGAAATTCTCTTTATTACTTTTTTTTTTTTTTCCCCTTCTTCCTTTTGACTTTGGAAAATAATACAGCCACTGACAGTAGTGTACCGAATAACATGGTAAAATCCTGACCGTTGATTAATTTTAACTTAATATTAATCAACGGTCAGGATTTTATTATATCATTCGATACACAAATTTAGTACACTACTATCTGTGCCTGTAGCATTACTCTTTTAACTTTTCCCTATTTCAAATAGTCCGCTGAACTGTTTTAAGTTTTAACTACTTCAATGTTCTTTAACCGAATTACCTTTTTCCATTATACCTTTGAAATACTGTCATTTCTGGCATAAAGCTTTGAATCCCATCTCATCCATCTTAAGAAACCTGGAATCTTGGTTCTTAAACATCACATATTAGATAACATATTTATGATATTTCTCATTTCCACAAATTCTAATACCGTCATCGTATCTTAGAAGAGTAAAGACTTTCCTACCCAAATAATGTTTAACTGCACTTTCTCACCCATAGACTTTTAAAATATCATTTTACTATTTAAATTTTTATTCTGTTTCCGATTTCGATATCGTTGCTACCCCACATTACCACCATTCTCTTCTCCGATCACCACTCACCAAAACCCCTCAAACCCTACTCCCGCCGACCTCACCAATCACTGACAATTGAGTGATCAGGGTTTGCACAGCCACCCCTCCCAAGTCAAATTCTGATCGATCCCAACCACCAAAATCCAATATTCCATTACCAAAAGACTCATCGGCCTTCCTTCTTTAAAAACCCCAATAGTCTGAACTGAGTTTGCTCTCTGTTCGTCGTCGGAATATAAATTTTGGTAGTAAAATTATACTTTAAAAGTCTGTATGTAGGAAAGAGTCATTAAACCATTATTTGGGTGAGAAAAAGTCATTAACTCTATTTTAGAATATTACTATTAGCTCTTTAATAGGTGGTATTAGACAACACTATATACAAAACGAAATTTAACTATCTTTATCCTTAAACTATACTGTGCGAAACCGAAAAGAATACAGTTTAATGAACTCAAAATTAACCCATACCAAGGAGTGGGTTTACTTGCATCTTTGAACCGTATTAATTTAACGATTACACATTTACTCGAGTTCTAAAATATCATTGTTTTAGCTGATTATTTGTTGTCCTTGTTCTAACATTAACCATTACACTAATCTGTAAACTCATAATCATTGGTTTAGTGAAAATATAGAGAAACAGAACCTTGGAGAAGTCCGAATCTTACCCTAAAAATCAAACTACAAATGATCAAATTTGATACCCAAGTTGAAAGGAATGGAGTTGATGACAGCTCAAATTTGCAAAAGAAGAAAAGAACAGAAAGAAAGAAGAAACTACAATAGTTAAAACCTATAAGCCATAGAATGGTTTCTGTTGAAAGCAAGGCTTTAAGTTTAACAGGAGGTGAATGTGAACTCCAAGGAAAAAACTAGCAATCAAGCCTAGCATTTACAGATTAGAAAAAAAGAAAAAAAAAAATGATGTATAATTGAAGCATGATAAAGAAAGACACTTTCATCGTTAATCTCGAAAGCCGAAAAGTAACTCTCCACCATGCCATCACGCTTTCCTTCTGCAGCCCTTAGTTTCATTCCCAAGAAAACAAAAGTTTACACAGTAGTTTTGAAAAGACACAAAGTGGAAATGTTTTGGTGGTGTCAAATTCAATTCCATGTCAATGTAATAGCATTTTTGTCTGCCTCTGTCTCGTTTGCCAATTCCCACTTTACTTCTAGAGCCATGAAGCACAAGTATGGATAAGCTAAACTAGAACATGTTTAATTACTGTGTATGATGTTTACCTGATGCGAGTTTGTTTGTGTTTTGGCCTTTGATTTCCAGGGAATTGGACGAATTCCTTCTGTTTCAACTCTTTTTATCACCCACTCATTGTAAAGTGGGAAACAGCACAACCTGATTAAGTGATAAAATATGTTAAATAATGGAGAATTATTAACTGAACTAAGCTAATGTAGGATTAAAAATTGCGTAATTCCAGGGAATTTACCACAGACAAAGACAAATAGCCGTCATGACTCATGCATTTGTGTGTCCAATCTCTGAGCTCTAGAATTTTGCATACAAAACCACGTAAACTTGTTCTCATTTGATAAAACACCAAGTTTTCAGCCGTAATGCATCAACTCCTGTGTCTTGATTTTGACTGAAAGCATTACTTAAAAAACTCTTTCTGAATATTTATCTTTATCTCTTCACTCAACTTTGGATCCAACAAGCAACAGTCATTTTGATTTATCACCTAATCAACATTCAGAAAGCTGCAGATTTGGTTTGCAATCTCCATTTGAAAATCCAAGTCCCAAAAAGTTAATTAACCTTTCAGGATTTGTAAAGGGAGAAATGGGAATTCTTGGTGTCTACATGATAACATTTTTTAACTAGAAAAAGGTACTATTTCAGGCAATTCATATCTCATTTTTAGAGCCCAGTTTGTAATGATGATGATTAGGTCTTTATTTAAAGTGTTGTTTATTAATAATCTATAATCAAAAGAGCCCTTTTAAGGCATAAATTAGGAAAGGTTACCAAAATTGAGAATGACAATGTAGGCCACAAAGGAGACCGAGAAGAGACTAACTTTTTAACTAAAGTCAGAAATGTCCCCAGCCACAACAAAAAGAACATCCAGCTCTCTCATGATTGTTATAAAGAGTTAAATTTCGACTTCTTATCCTAAACAAACAAGTTCCATAGAAAGAGCACTAGTGAAATATCATTCACACAGAGAAAAGAAAAAGCTGAGGACAATGACAGGATTTGGCTCTTCATGCGGAGCATGCAAATTTCTGAGAAGAAGATGCACAAATGATTGTATCTTTGCCCCTTACTTCTGCTATGAACAAGCTGCATCCCATTTTGCAGCAGTCCATAAAGTGTTTGGTGCAAGCAATGTCTCTAAGCTATTATTTCACTTACCAGTTCACAACCGAAGTGATGCTGCAATCACCATTTCTTACGAGGCATTGGCTCGAATGCGAGATCCTATCTACGGCTGTGTCGCCCAGATTTTCGCCCTCCAGCAACAGGTTTCTGAAAATCCTGTGATATCAAATGTATCAGTGTTTCTTCTCTAACAAGTAAATCCTGAAATGCGGAACATGAATGCTTATAGATTAATTATTTATTTTTCCCTGCAGGTAGCTAGCTTACAAGAGGAAATAGAACTTCTTGGAAATCATATGGCGGCTAATCAAACGGTTGGTGTTGCTAGTAGTGGAAGTTCACAAGCACCTAATGAATTAACATGCAGTCAGTCATACTTTTCTCCATATCCAGATGCCATGAACACACCTTACTATCAGAATCAACAGGCTGAAGCTGGACAGCTAAATCATGGAGGAAACATAAATGCGACTCAAGCTTTTGATACCC